ATTTATAAATGTGTGAATCATATGGTGAAAAACTGACTTTGAAAAATAATTCTGTTCTTTTTTTCTTATAAAAGGCTAAATAAAACAAAAAAACATTGGTGGTAATTTTTGACTKTGTAACTTTACAAACTGCACCCCATTTATCCGGTTTTGTATTTCTGGCATTTTCAGTAGCTCCATTTTTCACTTACCTCTGGCTGAGAAGGAGAAGCAATGGGGGCCAAATTTAAAGCTCCTCCATTATGTATTAGTGTGGCAGGTGTACTGGGTTGTAAAAAGCACCGTTGCTCTTCCATACGTCTACTTTGTGCATGTCTTATCGTCTCAAAGAACCGTTCCTGCTCGTCTATGGATAAGTCCTAAATGAAACAAAAGACTATGAGCTTCTCTGTAGTACTGACATCATTTTAATGGCCTAAAATGGAATAGGAAAAAAATAGGTCAAACTATRTAGATAAAAGGTATGAAAGTGCACCTAACCTGCCAGTGTCTATCAGTTTTTAAAAAGGCCAGATCCTGATGAGGTTGATCGGGCATAGGGTCTTTGCGCTGAGCAGAGGGGGTACAAAGATTTTTGAGGACTTCTGGTGCATTGCACCTCTGTTCATCCATTCTTGAGCCCTGTGAGAAACTAAAGTTATTCAGGATTGTGGATTTAACGAAAACAATATCAGCGAGGGGACTGTGTAGCAAGGCAGAGTAGTTAGGACGAAAGGTGACGTCAATTAGAGGAACACACTTATGAAATAAACTAGAACATATCAGAGACTGTGAAAGCTATTCTGTTTTTTTAAAAATAAACTTAAAGTTTGGACTAAAGAAAATCAGTCATGCATTTATTAGGAAAATAGATCTATTTTAACTATGAACCTTGCCGTGTGTGATGTTTGTGTTTTGTTGGATTGTTTTAATAAAATGTATTTGTTTTATGCTCTTGTTTTGTAACCCGTTAGATCTTTTGTTTGTGTATCTGCTCGGGACAATGGTTGAAATTTAGCTGTTGTGCATTTATATTCATAGAATATTGATGAATGTGCAATATCCTTAAAAAGTAATTAAATTAATAAGTCATATTTTAAAAAAGTGAAACTAATAGTCTATACTTTAGTTGGGACCAACCTGGAGTCTTGAAACCAAGTAACATAAATAGCGTGCATCCCTCTCAGCAGGAGATAATGGTGTTGTCGTTCCTCCATTCTGTATTCCTGGTAATGTGGGAAGAAACATTCGCTGGTCGTCAAGCCGGCGACCCTGAAAGTTTGCCAGCAAGGTGAAGAGCTTTTCAGCATCTAAACAATGTATGGTGAAAGAATTATTTATAGGATTAAATACATATGCAGTTATAATTTTAATGAAAAAAATTAAAGAAAACAAAACATGTAAATATGTCTATAACCTTGGGGAAAAGCGCTCAGGTCGAGCTGGTCTTTGGGTACATCTTGGGGATTTAACACACATCGCTGTTCATCCATTCGACCTCGTTGAAAATGACTCATTAAAGTTAAAAGTTCTTCAACTTCAGCTGATGTGAAAGCCTAAATAAAAAGTTTACAAACTGTGCAAATTTAGGTGAATAAAAATAGATGCTGGAATTTATTGAACATATATTCCTGCAGTTAAAAATCACAACAGTACCTGAAACACAAACCTGCTTAGATGCTGTATTTTTGTTCCTTAGTTGCTCTAAATCTGAGCTTCCACTGAAAGAGGCTGATTTTTTCATTTTTGGTGAACACTCRGAAGTTTGAATTTGAGGTAGGAAACATCTTTGGTCATCCATTCTGGAGCCCTGAAAAGCAAAGAAGAAGTGATTTTCCACAAAGAAGAATTTTTTCTTTTGTTTTGCAGCCACAGAAAAACATGTTGGTTTAAATGAACTCAGTAAACTAACAGATTTCAAAATGTATTTAAAAATTTACTATTTTTTAAGATTGATGTCACTTAACCACATTGTGTGTAATAGTCAGCTAAGACTTTTGATCTTTTTTAAAGGGATGTGATGGATTTTATTTTATTTTTTTATTATTTTACAAAAAAAAAGTACCTACCTGGACTTTAGAGACCAAATAACACAGGTAGCTTGAGTCCCCATTAGATGTGCTGTTTTCATCCTGTAATCCTGGTAATGATGGCAGAAATAGTCGCTGGTCATCGAGCCTTCGGCTTTGTGTGAGGGCCAGAAAGTTGAAGAACGTTTCAGGATCTAGAAGTGAGATGAACTTTAAACTGAATTCAGTTTGTCTGAAACTTTACATACAAGAAGAAAGTATTTGATTTAAAAAACGACTAATTTGAGATATGTGAGTTTTTGACAGTTTTACCATATTATTTTTACCTATGTTTAATGAATTCACAGTCGGATTGTTTGCGTCTTCAGGTGAGCAGGGAAGACTTCTGCTGGGATCCACCGCACATTGCTCTTCTTGTGTATGCCCATGGGAATCCATATTGATTAACTTTTGTTGTTCCTCAGGTGGTTCTTCCTTTTTTGTAATAAATAAATAAATTAATTAATTAATAAATAACAACAATATAAAAAGTAAGGAAGGTAAAGATGAAAAGTAAATATGCTAAAGTACTTAGAATGAATTTGGCAAATTATATACAGCCAYCACTAGCCAGAACAAACCAGGAATGAATTGGAGTAGGTAACCTGAGAAGGAACTTGTAACTGGTGGACTGGTGCCAACAGATCCATTCTGTCTCCATCTGGAGTACTCTGGACCACAACTAATTCAGGCTTGACATTTTGAGGATTATCCATCTCAGGTTCCTTTAAAAACAAACAAAAATTAATAAATTAATAAATTAATTATACAACCCATCATGTGCAGCGGTAAACTAAGGTATTCTCCACGTTGTTGGTCTTATTTCTTTGTAGAGCAGGGGTTAAATTGTGACAAATCAAACCACAAAATGACAAGTTATCGTTAAAGGTATTCACAGTATCACTTATTTACAAAGTTAAAATGGGACCCAAAGTGCAATAATTTTTCATCCATGTCTTGCCAGTTTGAAGAACTGGTTATATTCAGAATCTGCATCACTGCTTGAGTAATCAGTTTAAAAGTTTAAACTGTCATACTTTGACTTTTTCTTCTTTTTAAATTCTGTATGTACTTATTGTCAAATGTATAAGTATTAACCAAATTATTTTAATGTGTAATGGCTAATGTTACAACTACACTTAAATCATAACAAGCCCAGAAGCCAGAGATTAAGATTAAAAGTTTAACATTTTACTTTTTGAATGAAGGTTTGATGCTTAAATGCACTGTGCTGTACAGCACTTTACTAAAAAAAAAAAAAAAAAAAAAAAAAAAAAAAAAAAATTGGWATAAACCCTACATCAAAATAATTGTTCAGTGAATATAATCAACAAATTGTGTATTGCAAATAGTCACTGAAAAGCACAAAATCAAGCAATAATTTCAATTTGGAAGCAATAATCCTTACTACATGAATATGTAATTTCACTTTACCTGTACATCAGCAGCTTCTGATATCATATCCCCTTCAGCAGATGCCATCGTAAAAAAAAATTATAAAGAGCAATTCAAAATGTAGAAATCTGAACAATAACTTAAACTTGCAAAAATTAAAATAAAATAAAAACACTATATGAATTGATGCATCTCCATTAGACCCTTCAAATGAACTGCTGTTTCTGAAATAGAAATGATTTGAACTGATGCTACTCCAAATGCTTACTGGATATACATACAATATGGCAGAGTGGTTTTAAATAGAGTTCTGTGTCATGAGCATTAACCTACTGCTACTAAATCCCAAGCTAGTGCTCTCTTCTTAGTATCATCATTTATAATCTCAGATAAAAACATAATCCTTAACATGGAAAAGGATGATCTCTTTAGCTAAGGTGTACATATTCTTCTTTTTGACCTAATGCTTTACTTAAACTGTTCATTTTAGACCCCATTATGTTCATGCTGCAAGCCCATGAGATTAACCAAACTGCTACTGAGTAATGCCATTTTGCATAGCAAATATTAACATTCAAAATACAAATGGGACATACAGCTAGCCACTCATTTTTCTTAACCTGCATCTCCTTTCTAGGTCGCAGGGAACCGGTGCCCAGCAGTCACTGTCTGAGAAGTAGGGTACTCCCTGGACAGGTCCCAAGTCCACAGGGCCACACAGAGACAAACCAGCCACACTCTCATACACACCTAGTGACAATTTAGTTACCGATTACCTAACGTGCATGTTTTTGGYTTGTGGGAGAAAACCACACAAGCACAGGGGGAACATGCAAATGGGAGGCAATTCTGTGACCTCCTGACTGAGACAAATCTTACCACTGTTCCACAAATACGACATGTCAAGGATGTTAGGGTAGCAAATATTATGGTTAAGAGCACAATCAAATGTTTTATTGGGTTTCGAGAAATTCACATTTTCAAAAAATGTGTTCATTTTTATTCCCAAGTGCAGGTTATCTTGAACACAAACAGAATACAAAATCAGAAATAACCTTGTTTCGTTTATAATTTATTTTATTGACTGGAAAAAAAAAACACCCACCCCACATATTCCCAGGGTATATATTAAAGTATATGTATTTTGTACAATTTATCAAAATATAAGAGAAAAAAAAAGTTAATTGCAGCTGTTGTCACATATAGTCAGAGAAAACAATTTTCAGATTTGATACAATGCCCTAGAAGAAAAGCATTTAATACAGTTATTACTATTACATATTTATTGTTATTGGAACCTTATCAAGTTATAGTTTCATTAAATACATAGTCTAAGAATATMTGTTTTTGAGAGCATATTTAGGCAATCAAATATATAACAAGATTTTGTATAAGAATAATTAACCAAAATACTACACATATCTAGCTAAATATTCTTACACAATTTCAATCAGAAGACAAGAATCCCTAATTCAGACACAAAAGCAATAAAAAGACCATTTTAAAATAAAGAATCAGTAGTTACCTTCAATGATTACATTCATATCTTCGCTTCATATTTCACTTATGACATAAGGCAGAAAAACCAGTGACCATGCTAATGAAGAACAGTACCCTTATTCATTTGTGCTCTTTAAACCTGGAGAGCAAGATTTGGGATAAGGTGTTTAATCTAAATTGKTTAAGTCATCAAGGAAGCTGGTGGGAGTCAAGATGTGAGATGACCCTGTCAAAAAGAAAAAGGTTTTCAGTGTAAAGAAAAATAGACAATAACTTCATAAAAAATAAATAAATATTGCTTACCAATAAGAACTTCCCATTTTCCTTCAGTTGCTCCAGTGACTTCGTAAGCAGAACGCATCTCTGAGTGTGACACACCACCAATCACAAAAATAATAAGCCGAGGGCCGCAGCGATACTCTGTCGGAGACTTATTTTTGTGCCAGTGTCCAAATCGTGCACTGCTGTAAAAGTAACAAGTAATTAAACAATTATTTTCAGCAATCAACCAAGTTTTCCATTAACAGTTTGGTTTTACCTTCTAGGGTTAAAAACATGYTGCATAATGTGTTTTTGCGCAGTATGCTAATCTTTCTCATAATGGTCTACTCTTCTTTAATTCTGCACTTTGCTTAAAAGCAAAGCTGACAAGCATTGTGCATTTTGCAGATTATCTGTCAATAAAGGCCAAAGTTTGTACAGACACCGTTATCACTATGGGAATTTCTTCAGCAGCACATTTGTAGTAAAGCTAAATTAATTGCACCTTTGAGCCCAGCTTATTTTGTCAAAAGCTAGACTCCCAACATAGTTGCAAGGATAAAAGCTTTTACCAGACATTATCTACCTGATGTGCCACTTGATTTATTTAGGCAAAAAAACAAAATGATTAAAATGTGTATGTACAGTATTTATTCTATAAATAATAGTGACATGCCATCCCCCTTCATGCCCATTAAAACTTTTGAGAAATTAATGTGCATTTCTAAACTGTTCTGAAACCCACCTGACTGCAGTCTGAGTTGTGTTGACTGGAGCAGGATCAGAGATGAATGGCCACTGTCTCTTATCCAGTTTGTCTTCAATGGTATTCTACAGAACAAATATTCAGACGGTGTAAAATGCTGAAACTATTTTAGGTGGGTAAACAAAAAAATGTAAAAAATCTAAAATTCACTTTAGCATTTTTACCTCCATGACATCCTTAATGATGGGTGTCCATCTAGAGAGTTGGTATGTACTCTCTGTTCGCTCCTTTCGATCTGGCAGCATTTTTCCAGCATTAGTGCCCTAACAAAACCAAAAACACGTTTGTAACAAATAGTGAGGGAGGGTATTTACATTACCAGCAGTTTCATAACTTCCTTGAAGCAAAGCACTAATCAAAATAGTTACCCCAGCAATAATGTTACAGCCCAGTTTTTGCATGTTATTGATGATTTTGCCCTCTTCCCGTATATTTGCATGTTGGATGAGTTTGGCAAGGTTCTCTTCTGTGATACCTAAAGAAGATGACGCATGTAAATTTGGTGAAAACTTTTAAAACATTTCAGATGCTCCAATATYCACTTCACAACAAAATGCACTAGTTTGTTTTTGAACCCAAAACGGATTTTATAACATAATGAGATTTTTTATAACTCGGACAAAACTACAAACCTTTTTTCTTATGAAATATGAACAGCAATATKATGCGGATTTTGTCATAAGCTCCAATATCATTGTTGAGAAGTACAGGAACAATGCTCTTCATGGCATCCTTTAAAGGTTCCCCTTCTGCATTTGATCCCATTGCCAGGTCCTGTGGAAGACAYTCCTGGTGAACTACTGGCTGCTACTGAAATCTCAATCAACAAATTGGCAAAAGAAAAGTAACATAGCAGCTGGCCTACAAAGATATGTTGCTGGGTGTTTTTTATTAATTTACTCAAGTATAGCAATTCTTATGAGGCAAACATCTGATTGCAATTTTTTTTATCCCATATTGCAGAGTCACATTTCCAATCCATAAATTGTGTCAAAATAAAGAAAATAAAGACTCTGTGAACTTTAAAAATAATAATACACACATGGATTTATTTCTGGCTGCCTAAACTATACAAAACACTTGAACAGCTGAAAGCATTGTTGCTGTTTGGATCACATTGTCCATCTTAAAGCCAAAACATGCCTGCAGGATTAAAGAGATAGCTTTCAGATGTGCTGACAATCCATTAGTGTGGTTCAGTGATTTGCTCATAAAAAAACAACAAAAAAACATTAACACATAATTTCACAAGCATGCCTTGATCGTAATTTTCTGTGTGCTTGAGATTCATCTGATACAAGGCTAAATGTGGCAAAGCATGTGACCTCTGAAAGCACGTCTGGCACATACAAATAAACGACACAATGGTGTTTGGCAGTGGTCTGGACTGTGGCTTATTCCTGGCTTCTACGACGAAGAGATTAATACGGTGACATGTGGTATGTGCGAATTAAATTCCTTTCAACTCACAGTAATTACTTAACCACTTCCTGTGCACTTCTGCAGACATAAGGATATTTAAGTCTGCTACAAAAAATCTTGTGCAATATTCCAGTTTATCATTAATTATCACCAGTCAATGCACAATGCATGTTAGCATGCCATAGAAAAGCTAAAAATAAATTAAAATTTTTTGTCTTAGTTAGCATTAGTGTGACAAAATACTTTTGTAATTTAGAGATTGTGAATTCTGTAACAGATGGGAGTCCAAAAACATATTACCATTTGTAGCTTGATGTGTATAAATAATGTATACAGTAACAGCCACAAGTAGAAATTAACTAAATATTGTTATGTTTTTTGTTTATCTGTAGTACTTGTTTGTTTAAACAATTAAAATGTTAAAACAAAATGGGTCAAACTTGTGAAGATGTGTTTAAATAACGCTAAGTAGCTATAGCACACCCAGTACTGACCTGCTCCACTTCACAAACTTTATCAAGAGTGGCCTTGAATTTCTTCATGCAAGCTTCTGCTAAGTGCAAATGAGTAGAGTACTGTGGAAACAAAAAGGTGTCAMAATATTGTAAAATATTTTTATTTTGTTAAAAAAATGATTGTATTATAAAAACATTTTGTTCCTTCTCACCATGCTCAGCTCCTTCTGATACTGTGGCATCTTCTTTAACATCTGAGAAAGRTCCTTGATGTTGGCCTGAAAGGCAGAAAATGTTTACCAAATGATACAGTATTTAGTATTTTTCACTATGGAAATCTGTACTACCTGGAATAACTGATATAACACTTACATTATCAGTGCTCATTCTCTTGCTTTCACAAAAGGTGCGAAGAAGTTCTGTCACTTTCCTGCAACAGTGGAATTGGAGGAAAACACCCCATCCAAGAAAACATTATGCTACGTTCACACCAAACACGTTTTGAGCGTCAGGGACATCGGGTTTATATGCAATGTCTATGGTGGACGCGCATCAAGGAGCACCGGGAAGTGCTGCGGCACGTCAAGTTTTGAGCGTTTGATGCACGTTACGCACATCGAACACTGAAGTTAGAAAATGTTTTGCAGCTCGACGCGGAGCATCAACCAATCAGAGAGACTCCACCGCGTGACATAGTGACATAATTTCTGATGAGGTGGTTTCCTGAATGATGTCCACTAACCTGAGACAGACGGACAGGTACTCTTTAGCTGAAATCGAGTGCCTGTAGTTGGTGTCCTGGCAGGAGATGTGGGCACTGATGCGGGTCAGAGGCTCATCAAACTGGGCTCAGACAAAAATAGTTCTGAAAGCGAGCCTCGTCAGCTCGCAGCTCCTGGAGTGGTGAAACTCACCAAACTCAAAGCTCCTCTGAATTATCTGGTGAATTAATTATGAATTAATTATCTGGTGAGCACAACGCGCTCYTGCTCTCAGTAAAAAGCAAAGCCACTTCTTTTATCTTTATTTYATCCGCCATTAAACAGAGTCCRGCAGAGGCGGCTCAAAACGCATATCAAGAGCAATTTTGACGAGCGTCTGACCTCAAAGTGCACAACAATGCATCCAACTTGAAGCGTTGGATGCGTTTTTGACACCCAAATYGCGTTTGGTGTGAATGCAGCATTAGAGTACCAACGTGCAAATAAAAGCCTATGTGCTGCAGTACTTAATCCACCAATTTGTTTACAGATTTAACACCAAAAACAATTTAAAAAAGTTTTGGATCAACACAAATTATTTATACAACAAATGAATGTCATGCAAATTATTTACAATTTAAACAATACAAAATTTCATTACCTATTTTTGTTTTCTTTTTTGTGATAATTGCATTAAAGTAAGCATCATAGCATGAGGTTAAAACAACTCAGTGTCATATGGAATCCATTAATGCAGCTATAACCACGAAAAACTCACTTTGTTACATCTGCGATGTGCATATGCCTGAGTTGAACCCAGAGCTCATCGTCCTCATCCAGTAAGACTTCTCTCTCTTTTGAGTTGCCAATGCCAGTCGTCTGATAACTTAATAATCACATAAAGCATTAATATAAATGCTTTCATTAATAACAACTAGCAACACAAAGACTCATGTGAAAACATAATTACACAGACAGCACATAAATACAGTAAATAAGTATTAGAACATCCACTTACTTATAGATGTCCTGCTTGATATCGAGCAAGTCGTAAGCCATTGCCTGCAAGGTCAACTCRTGTAGAATAGGTGAGATGGGATCAAACCCACGATCAACAATCAGCAGTTGAGATCGTGCTTTATCTGGACCCTAACAAAGAAGAAAAAAAAAAGTACAAAGCCATGAACTTTAATTTTCAGAAGCTTTTTGTGGGATCCATTTATTAACTAATAAAACACAACACAGCACTCCAGAAAACTCGTAGCTTTGAAATTAGCAAAATAAATCTGGAATTTTTTTAGACAGCATGTTATGCGAATGTACTTGATATGTGGGAGCAAAAAGAGAACAACAATACATGCCTGTTAAGACCCATCTCTGTTGCAAGGAATTATCAGCTAAAAAAGACAGAAAAGAAGAAGGAAAAGAGAAAAGGTATAGCAAAGCAGAAGAAAAACAAGGAATAAAACCCAGAAACCACAGAAATGTCTAAATCTTGTGAAAATGAACAGCTGCAGATAGCAGAAGTTTGTTCTTTGATACTGAAACAGCGATTAGGTACGCAAGTTTAATATGAAAACGTATCACTTTGACAAGCAGCGGCATAGAGGCCACAAAGCATGTAGGACTTGTGTGAAGCAGTGTTAATGAATCCTAACCTCTCCCATTTTTGGGTTATCAGCTTTATGAGCAGTAAGGCGTTGGTAGACCTCATCAGCCAGTTTAGCATTTTCCTCAGGTCCCCTTAAAGACAGTGTAACACAACTTTAATCCACCATGCAAGTTAAGTGGCAATTTGATGCAACATCAAATTAACTTTTAGTAAGGTTTCCATACTTGCGGTATCGAACTGCAGGGTACTCGTTCAGTGTGTCACACAATGTTGCAATCTGTTCTGCTAGACTTTCTATCATTTTGTTTCTACCTTCATTCGTCTTGGAACTGTAGAATGAGTACAATGAAGCTGGGTCATCCAGAGAAAACACCTTCAAGGATGAGAGGCATTGAAGTTAAGCTCAGTTTGTCAATATTTAAATAAACAATCCAGCTTTACATATAAACAGAGATAGATTCTGTTGACCTAAGAAAACTTCTTGAATCTCGTTATGAGGAAAAAACTGATCACCTGAGATTCGTATGGCAGAAATGCAACATTGATCTCTTTTAAAGTCTTGGCAACCTTTGCCACTCGGGATCTTCCAATTTCAGCAAACAGCTCATCGGGGCAGGCTATGAAAAACAAAAAATCCAAATTCAGTTGCTTACTTAAAATCTTTATACATATTGTCCTTTTAAGGCCTCTTTATGGTGCATCTAAAGTTAACCTGATCATTTGTTTTGCATTAACAGTTGCTTCCAACTTACTATCAGTGAAGAAGATGTGTGCTGCCTTGTATGTGAAAGCTGCATCTTTGAAGTCAGCAATGAGGGCACGAACTGACTGTAATTGAACATAGATTGAAATAAGTGCTAATGCCCTATTTAACACATTAAAAAAATACAACAAAAACACAAATTTATAAATGAAAGAAGAAACTGAGAATAGCATCAGGTTACCTTTTCCACTGGTGTGATCAAATAAATGGCCTCCAAACTGGAAATTGGCTCCCTGCGTTTATTGATGTCTTCCACAACTAAAAGCAGAAGAGTAAGTTTTTAATTTGACTACCTTAATCAAGTGCCGTTGGAAACAGCAATATTTCTGTTATAAATGACATGAAAAAAAAGAAAAAGAAACTTAATTTAGACAGGTAAAAAAAATTCAGCAAATGGCAACAGGACTATCAAAACTTCTCAGAACAACAAGGTAATTAGATTACTATATAAAATATATGTAACAAATATTTTCATTAAAAACTGAAAATATGAAAAATAAAAACATAACAGTAATGTAAAATAAATCCAAGTATTAAAAACTAGAGATGCACCGATCCAATATCGGCATGGATCTTGACATTGAAAAAAAATTCTCAATCAGGTATAGTGACAATTGACCCAATTTATAGGGCAAATCTATACAGTCTAATTCTACGCTGAGTGCTGTGAGAAACAACATGCATTAAAAGCATGCAGCACAGATGCTCACACGGTTTTCAAAAATGTTGCGAGCGAAAGGMTCAGCCATCTGGAACTTTTTTTAATCTACGTCAGACGAAATATTGGCTGATAATTAACCATCTGGAGCCCGGCGATGACATGGTAAGCCAAAAAAGATATTTGTAGGAGAAGCCTCTACCTGAACTGCACAATAAAAATGTGCAAACACACAGAGGAGATAAAAGATGTCAGTGATGGGTTTTACTTTATATATTTTGAATTASTAACTGCACTGAATGAACCATTTGAAAGAGGATTTGTTTTTATGTTTTACCAAGGAAGTTAATTTCTTTTTTTTTTGTTTCAGTCCCTTTATTATTTATTTTGCATAGGGTGTTATACTCCTAATTGCACTGACTGAACAAGGTAAAGTTGTTACTTTTACATGTTTCACTAAACTTATGAAGCTATTGATTTATTTAAGATTGATGTATGCTACTGGTGCACAATGATCAAATAAATGTATAATTCATTTATGTACATTTGTTTTAATTTTTAAAAATGGTCAATTGAGAACTATTTTTTGGATACAGGATTGGTATTGGATCCATATCAGCCGATACTAAAACTAAGTTCTATATCGGAAGGTWAAAAAGTGGATTGGTGCATCCCTAATAAAACTGCACTTCAGGATACATGAATGCAAACATACTAGTCACCCCCTCTGCCAAAATGTCAGACATCTTGCAGCAAGAGGACAGAATCCTCATGCTCATGTGATCCACGATTAAAACCTACAGGATGACATGACAAAACAATAGTTAAAAATGCAGTTTGAAACAGTATTAAAGAGGGTCTTAATGAGAAACTTACCTTCCATTCTCCRTCTTTCTTTACACTCTTGATGACCCCACTAAGGATTTCTATTAAAAAGAACAGTTTCAAATTTATATTTCATTCAATTTAAAAAGCAAACGTAAGACGTATTTTCATTTACTTTTTTTTTTCCAGAATTTATTACAAATAGGGTTAGGGTAAGGATAATGTACAGGATATTTTATTTCTTATTGTTTATTCATTGAAAGGATATGACAAGAGAAATTGTTTTTATTGAAAAGCAAAGTTATAAAAGCTTAGTTATAAAAGTTGATGCTCTGTTCAACTGTCAAAACTTTGACACAAAGACTTTTATTGAAAGAAAACTATTTAGTAAATGAATTTACAAAACGGAGTGCAACTTCCTCATGTTCTGCTGTGGAAATTACAGCAAACAAAGTTTATTTTCAACAGGTCATGGGTGGATTTTTACTCCAGCAAAAGATTTTCTTCAAGAAAACTCTAAACTACAAAACCTCTAACAGTTACCGCTCTGTCTTTTTTACAGTGGAAAAAATAAGTGTGGACATATAAAAAAGAAATGATGAACTAGACTGATGTGGTGTGATGTTGTGTACTTCCTGATTTGAACTTCAAAAACAGAGCAGTAACTCCCTTGAACTACTGATGCAAATTTCCAATTTACATCACTTCACTTGCAGTAACGCTTCAAGCAGTGTCGCAAGAAAGATTATAGAGGGAAAACAATGATTCCACTCAAATTATGAATAGTTTAAAAATAGCATATTACTAGGCAGGGTCAGGTAGGGTTGTTTAATATTTTGGTGATTGGATTAAAGAAAATACAATTTTACAACTGTATTTTTATTTTTGATTTGGTGGCCATCTTGAATTTGGTTGACTCCAAAAATCAATGAATTGTAYATGTACATCCAAACTATGATTATTTTCTGAAGCTTAATCCATCTAGGGATTCATGACATATTTTCTAACAGACAGACAATGCTTTTAGTAGGTAATGGCAATGTTTTGAAAACAAAACTTTGCTTGATCATGTGGCACTAAAGTGTATGTTTTAAGGATAAATGTCAGGTACTAACACAACTATTTTKAAGCTAAATATCTGCAAAACTGGCTGAGTTATATCCATTCTTGTATTTGTTAAGGCTGTTTAACTGTGGTCATGATAAATAGGACTCTAATGAGTTGTAGATGAAAAACATTTAGTAGTGTGTAAGACATTTTGTTTTTGGTACAAACACGAACACAAAACGTCGTCGCCGACGGGCGACGATAATAAATCAAAATTCACCCTCACTTTGAAACTGAAAGCTTGTCTGCAGCACAACACAAGTTATACCTGTTGAATAAATTATCCAAAATAGCCTGAATCAAAGTAAGAAAAGTTCTTACAAGCCGAGGCTTTATGCTTACACCCATTTTATCTGAGCTGAGTCCTGTACTTCCTTTCAGCTACTAGCATCGTTAGCCAACAACTTTAAGTCTGACAAATTTATTCACTTAGTTTTAAGTGAAAATATCACAAAACTAAGAATTATTCGACCAAAAACACTGTTATTAAAAATAAGGCACTTCGTCTACGTCTTGTTTAAATTTCTTGATTACGTTGGCATGTTATTTTGAGTGTGAAACAGGAAGAAACAGTTCACATGGCGTAGTCTGATCGTCAGTCCAAAAAAACTGCTACAAGAACGAGTTCGCCGTCGTGATAAATTAACTCTAATAAACTTATGAAAGTTTATAAGTTATAACCAAAGTATCACTTACTGTCGCCGACCACTGCCTTCAACCCACTCGGTGCCATCTTGMCTGGAATCGACTGGAAAGTCAGTCACTTCCTTATGATTCAGCAGCATATCTTTTGAAAGCACATTAGTGCCCCCTAGTGTTCATTATCAGTATGAGAAGAATTGCAAGTTTGTGCCAAAACACACAAAATTATGAACCTCATCTTTGCAAGCAAGTCAAATTGATCCATGTACAGAAAATAGAACACACAAATATACCCCCAATCAAAGATCAGGTTAACATGTTATAAATTGCGATTTTAAATTAAACATTCAAATAAATTACAGCAATGAAAGACAGCTGCAAGAAAGAAATACACACCTCAGACAAACTGGAAAAGCATCCAGCTGGCCACTTCTCGTTGCCAAATATATTTGAGGGTATCATCTAATAAACTCAGGAAACACATGTCAACACATAGTCATAATAAAACAATCAGTTTACAGATTGCTGTAGGGGTGCATCCAAGACATAGACGTGAATGAACAGGAAATCCCTCCTAAATATATTCATAATAAACATTTCATTATGCAGTGAAGTGCAGCTCATAAAACAAGTTATTATAACCTGGTATGCAGAAAATTATAGACAACCCCCCCCCCCCCAAAAAAAAAAGTGTTTTTATATCTGAATGGGAAATCTTACCCTGAAACAAATAAGCTTTTTAAAAAAATGTTAATTTTTAAGAAAACTAGACCAAAAAATGAGTGCTCAAACAAGTGACTGTAAGCAGAAGAAACAGATCGGATAACTTTAGCATACTGTATCCTGCCTTCTTCTTTTTTTTTTCTCTTTTGCCTCAAAATGTATAAAATGTCATGGGACTTTTTAAATTAAGTACACATTTTTTTCTTATGTGGTGCCCTGGCATTGTCTTTTTTTGTCTAAAACCAAAATGTTCACCAAATAACAAAATCAAAGTATTAAAAAAATGCTCTAACATTCTACATGTAAAATAAGTTGGTTTTTTTTGCAATTAAACTGCCACATAAAAAAGACCATTTCCAGTGAGTCAATTTTGAAAAAAATTTCAACATTAAATCTCAAGACATTGAAAATGCTGCCACAATTTCTGCTTATTTTGAAGAGGGTGACCACCTCAATATACATTTATGATTTAATTTTGAAGTTAAAGTAGATTTAATAACATTTGTTTAAACATGAAATGTGCATTGCTACATGAATTGATTATGTCCAACTTTGTGTAATTTTGTGAAACAATAAACACCAAATGGAAAAAAAAATCAGTTTTGTACATTTTATTGACACCTCATACAAAATAAAACACACAACAAACATAAAGTAAATAAATGTGCTGTGATTGTGAGATCACAGCTATTTAAAAATACACAAAGAAACGTTTTTATAAAACTAATTAGGCATACCGGGCATGATTATTTCGTAGAAACAGCCTCGCACATCTTCAGATGATGTTACTCTGGAAGTATTTCGAATGCAATGTGCTCTTAGTACAACTAAAAACATGGTCTCATTCCCAAGAATTACTGCCAGGTAGCCTTACAACGTGCTTTTTTCATCGTGTTCCTCCATTGTCAGAGTTGACAGAAGCATTCTTTAACATTCTCTCCTCGTTTAGAGCACGCATTCGTTCTTTGAATGCTTCCCATTCTTTTCTCTGAAGGATAAAAGTACATAAAAATGTTACTGACAATTGTGCTATTAATCAGTACACAAGTTTATTAAAACTATATTCAATCAGAAAGACAAATAAGGTAATATCTGAAAGTACGCTATTTGAAATTAAACCATATCACTTTAGAATATCAGCCAATTCCAATTTTGCCCTTTAAAACAGTGTTTCCCAAAGTTGGGGTTGGGACCCAAAGTGGGGTCCTGAAACATCAAGGTGGGGTCCTGAAAAGATTTACAGAATTAATTACATGTTTGCCTTTATTRTTACAAAGGAGTGAGGTTAGTGTGTTTAAAATGGATAAATGTAGAATAATAAAAATTGTTACTATGCCCATGTTTAGTTGACCTGATACAAATGTTTATCATCCAAAAATAGTTGGGGGCACAGGTCTCTGCTATTGTTATTTTGTGGGTCAAAAGCTGAAAAGTTTGGGAACCACTGCACTTTGGTTCCCAAAGTTGGGCTTGGGACCCAATTATGGGTCATGAAGCACCTTGGATAATCTCCAGAAATCAATTTAAAGGGTAATAAAATAATTGATGATGTAATATTTTCCCTATAATTATTACATAAACACAAAATCAGTATAAGTAAGTATTTATATTTGTGTACAAGCTGTTTAGACTGTCACAAAGCCTGTGTTTTTAGGGTTATTAATGAAGTTTGTGTACTCAGACCAGTAATATTTGGGGTCACTAGTTTTTGCCATGGATATTTTGTGGGTCAGAAGATAAAAAGTTTGGGAACCACTGCTTTAAAAGACTTTGTAGCTCAATTTTGATAGTTTATTAAGAAACGTATGACAAATAAAACAGATATCCTGTAGGTGATAATACTAATTTGTTCATCTTATTATTATGAGACAGAATCTTAAATAATATAGCAATACAATACTAATACAGTCAYAATTATAAAATAACTGAGTCATTTTTATGATTTACAAGCTCATTTTCTTCTTATCAAAATGGTAGAGATAAGCTTTAGAAGACAAAAAAATACAGTTTTTTTTAACATATCTAAAAAGAAACCATTGGCCTGAAAATAAATGTATTGAGCTTAATTGGGTTTTCAAACCCATCTACAAATGGGATGACTTGAAAAACAKTAGCTTTGTGCAACTCACTTACTTGTGCTTCGTCATCAGGGGGGAAGATTTCTCTCTGTGTAGACAAATGTCGACAGGAGGCATTTATTATTGCAAGAATGTTAAAAACCATATCTGAGAACCAAAACTGTTGAAAACTACTGACCTTTCTCTTTACTACATACTCCTCGAAATACTCTGCCTGGTTTGAGATCCAAAACATTGCCACAGGAAACGATAGATACAGTATCATCTGCACAACAACAAAACATCAAACCAAGAAGTAGTTAATGAATATCTGCGTCTGTCTAACTCTGACGATGGTTCGCTAGATAAAAAAAGATTAAAAAAAAACGTTAAAGTAAATCATTTTCAAACCTTATTAATAACATTTTAATTTATGCTATACTCACTCTGAATATCTCTATTTTAACACCCATTTTGACATCAAATATCCTTCTGCTGTAATGAAGTATTACCTAAACTCTCAAAGACCTTCAGAATACTTCCGGGTTGCAGAAGATCCAATCATGTGAAAGTCTTGACGCATGCGCTGTTAGTGAATTTTTCAGGCGTCGTCTTTTGCATCCACTGTGGGGCTCCAAACAACCACATCCATCAGATCCAAGTCTTTGTTTATTTGTTATATTTTTTACTATATTTGCAGACAAGTAACATTTCGGATATTATTAAATATGACTTGTATATTTTCTGATTTGTATGTACGTGTATGCATTCTGCTATACAATGACCTTTTCAGGTTTGCCACATTGCAAAACCTCTCTACAAACTTTATTAAACCACTTTTATTTTTCACGCTTTTGTCAACACAATATTTAAATAATAAATTTAAATAAGAAAATTTAAATAAGTGCTGAACTGATGTGATACGACAAAACGTTAACATTTTATGTGGATATAGCTAATTATTTGGTATTTTAAACTTATTTTTTATTATTGTTATTATTATCTAGATGTTTTCTTGTTGCAAAGTAGTACATCGACATGGCTGTTACTTCAGTTTGTAATGTGCTTTTTAATGGAGCATAAATACTCAAATCAAACAGTGGGACTACAATGAAACAGGCAGTAGTTATCAATAAAAATATTTTTATCGAAATTTGATTAGCCTTAACCAACGTCTTTAATATTGCTTAATTAATATTGTACTGAAATATATTTTAGATGTGGTATCTTTTATTTTTTCACAATTCCTCCTTAAAATTTTGCTGCTAGTTTGTCGATGACGCGCTTTACGATACGGGTTTACGCGTGACGTCATCGACAACGAGAGGTGTTCAGGATCCTCGGAGGTACAGATCCCGCGCACCCTGGCAATCTGAGAAACCCAGGTAAACGCTGTCGTTTCCAACCTTCCTTTGCCAGTCATGATACCTTAGTAAGCAGGGTGAACAAAAGGCAAGAGAAGCGGCAACAGTGATGTAAATGCCTCAAAGATGTCTGGCGTCTACGGACACCGCTCTCTTGCATGGCGGCCTGTACTGGGAAGCTAGCTTGCTAGCTAAAGCTAGTTTGCAGTTGTCTCCTAAAAAGACACAATAACCGCACCAATAATTTGTGTTTCCCTGACATCCATTGTCTGTGTCACCCACCAGTGGTCACAATTACACCTCAAACTGTCCCGCGAGTGACGATATGAGCACCATCTAGACCACCTATGCTTATTTGCTCATCGACAGTCTTGTGTTGTGGGAGACTGTGACGCCGTCACGGTGATGATGGCGCACACTCAGACTGAGCCCGTTGGCTAAGGAGACAGTCAGTTACGTTATTAACCAAAAAATGACATTTACTCCGTACTCAGTGATTTGATGCCATAATGATAGAAGAAATACTCTTACCCCCTATTTGTTCTGCAATAGCACAGATGTCTACAAAACCCAAGCGATAGCCTATGCCCTGTGGCCTAACGTTTGGGACTAGGATTTCTACGATGATGGTCGCCCATTAGCATTCATTTCCTTGCTTCGCTTTTCCACGACATCTACTAACAACGTCTGTCCTATGTGTTTCCGCCTAATTTATTCATGATACTTATATAAACTTGTCTTTCTGGAAGCCCGTTATGACTCCTTCCAGCAAGATCATTCATCAGTGGTCTAGTCCTAACTCTACGTGTGTATAATCTTGTTATTAGCTCACCTAAATTCGCGTGGTATATTCGTTTAAAGTCTAAAGTTGTCATTTATACAAAAGTAAAGCACTTTGTAGCCTGTAGGTGTAGATTCTGAGGAAGTTTAAGTTTCAGGGGTCTGCTATTTTTTACTACCCTGCATATAATTAGTTTCAAGGCTGTATATCAATTTCTTGATTAATTTGTCATTGATCAAGCMTGAAAGCTGTTCTTATGTGTACTCATGGTTAAGTAAGAGTGCAAATAAGGGTTGAATTGAGTCAAAGGGCATACTGTTAATAAGCAATCAGAGTGCTGACAGTGACTGTTGTGGATACAAGTCATATTATTTGAAATACATTTTTGTGGGATACAATTTGACTAATAATTTTTAAGTAGATAAAAACTCATTAATTTGCTAGAACATAATCTGTCCGTATGCATTCCTATGTTTTGGCTTTGCTCTTGTTTAGTTATGATGCTATTCACAGTTGTGGTAATTCCACACTAAGTTTAAAAAAAGTAAGTGGCCGGCAAATAATCTATCATAATAAATTTAATGTTATTTGTTTAGTACATCTAATGTATCACTTTATCAAATATGTTTTATAAACATGTTGATCTTTACAAGTTAGTGTTTCTTTATCAGTCAGCATAACAAGCTGTTTTTTTTTTTTTTTTTTTTTTTTTTTTTTTTTTTTTTTTTTTTGTTATTTGTGTCAGTTTATATTCTCTCCTGCATCTTCACCTGATGCAAATTTAAATTATTATTACAAATGATGGTCTCATGCAAGGTCAATGTCAACTAAGTTAGAAAATGTATCTAATCAAGATAACAGATTTGGTGCATTTATAATAATGGCATAAGTCCTCCTATGAAATTATAGATTTAATCTCTCTAGTACAATACAAGTCGAAATCTTTCACTGAACAAACAAAAAGGATTTTATAAGTATTTTACCAGTTTTCAATTGACGTTGCCAGGAAATTTATGTTAGGAATAATAATGAATGAAAATAAAACATTGCTGACATATTTTGTAACGAGTTAACGTCCTCTTGGGGAAAAATGCAAATGGCATTCATCTATCTCAACATTTTTGTGCACCAAGCATCGCTAATGTAAATTGTTTCTTTTCTCTTTCTATTAAAGTTTTATGCTCCACAAGCATGAAATGTGGTCTTTACATTGAATTTAGTCAAGACTTTACACAGTATAGAAATCATAAAATAGAAATGAGTTGAACACAGGACTGTAGGTCCAATCTAGGGCTGCAACTAATGACTATTTTGATAGTTGAATAAGTTGCAATTATTTTTTCAATTAGTCAAAGATTATTTTTGTTACAACATCTATCCTTCCTGTGGGCAAACCTCCTGTTCCAGCTCCAGTACACATCTCATCTCACCTGGCTGCTCATCTTAACTGTGAATGTCACCCTGTTATCCAGAGTCTCTACCTTAACATAACAAGTTCCAATAGCTAATTAAAATAATAACCCAATGAACATTAATACATGTAACCATAATAAAAATAAAATTATATAATACTTACWAAACTGMAAATAGTCTTTTAAACAAACAGCTGATGTACAAATAACTCAAAATATCAGCCTCCTCCCCAGCATGAGTGGCTGTTAACCTGCCCTGCAGGGTGCAGACATACAGTAGCTTTGTAATATCAAAATAAACTAAAGAATAATTTTACTTAAGGTGACATTCAAGTGCATAATTAAATGTAATCCATCCTGAAATCCTGCTGGATGTGGCAGTTCAAAAATTATAAGACTTCAATGCCATGAAAAAAAACAGGATAAGATGAGACAGGATGGAGTATTAGTATAATTAAATGCTTTAATATGAAGCTTTTAGCATAACTGATAGCTCTGCTTCTAACAAATTGTTTTCTGATGGTAAACTAACAAAACTTATATRCAGTTGTCTACAGCACCAAGTGATGCATCAACCTGACAAACAAGCTAACTTTATGAAACTTACCCATCTGCAGAGGACGTCTGCAGTGTGTTAGCATCTCATGGTTTGATCATGCTTTTGTTGCTGCTGGTCTGCCATGGAATGATCGAGTCTGCATTTTACTTTYTTTGTTTAGTTTTTGGTAAAACTTAGCCAATTTTGAAATGTTTAAATCTTCTTGATTTTTTTGTTTGTTTGTTTGTTTTTTTCCTTTTTGATGCAATCGTATTTCTGTTCCACCATTATTATTGCTTTTTTATTTCCCCGCGGGTTCTTCTCTGGTTTGCAGACTGGTACGCCACATTCTTATTCTTTTGTAAACACACAAACAACAGATAATAGAAGCGATTCTGCCTCCATTTACGTGGGTTAATAATAAGATGCGTCGACATTAACCCTAACCGGCATTGTTGACCAATTGTTGCAGCCCTAGTCCAAGCTAACTAAACTGAGTTTTAACCTTTTTTCTTATCTAGGTTGACAGCTCGTTTTGTAGAGTGCTTTGAGAACTTTAAATCACCAACTTCTTAATAACAGTTGTGTCCATTCTGATTTTCAGAAGTTATCAAATGTTTTCAGTAATTGATTAATTTGAACATTTTAATAWCATTTATTCAGCACTGACATTGACACAACGAAGCCGTTCCTCATAGAAAATATGTTAGTATTAAGTTTTCTTATGTCACAGTAATGTTTCACTGAATTTCTGTAGTAAATGTGAAGCCAAGAAAATTTGAAACTRTCTATGTCAGTGATGTCTAATTCTGGTCCTCTAGGGCCACTGCATGCTTTATGTTTGTTTATGTTTTTTTTTTCTTGAACACATCTAATGGAAAGAATACAACTCCTCAAAGTACTCTACCTGGTTTGAGATCCAAAACATTTTTGGGAAGAATATATTTAAAATAAATGGATTGTAGAAATCTCAACATTACTCACCACATTGCTTGTTGTAAATATAGTTGTTGTGCAGCAAGTCCAGTCTGTAATTTGCCACAATGATGAATGGCTGCAATGTTAATTTTTACAAACCTGAAATCCTAATTGCATTTTAAGTTGCSAAAATCTACGCTCCTGTTCTGATCAGTTCTTCTGGGGGACTCTTTAGTACGTACACCTACAAACTGCTAAAGTTTATAGGTGTAAATTATTACTCACCACCAGAACGGTAATTGTTGCCTTTGTCTGTGTGCTTATGCTTATATGTTTGTTTGTCTGCACGTTGGCAATAAAAYTCAGAAAACAACTTTCAGAAAATAATCATTGGATGAACAACTACAACTGWTCGACTTTTGGAGTCAGTCCCATTCAAGAAGGCCACCACAGCTAATCAAAATTAGCCAACACAAAAATGGCTATAACCAGTCAGTTTTTGCATGATGGTAAATGGATTGTACTTATATCTTCCTATCCAACCAGGATACTCAAAGCGCTTTAATCTGTTCCCACATATACACATTCACACAGCACTCTACTGTGTCTCTGTACAAAACTAAACCAGRCGGATCAGTCTGTGGAGACCAATCAGTGCTTTAAATCACATTCATACACTAATGGGACACACATCCGAGACAGTGGGGGATCATTGTCTTGCCCAGGGACACTTCAACATGTGACTAAATAGCTAAGGGATTGAACTGCCAACTCTCACGTAGTAGGATGACTCCTTTTACCACTCAGCCACCGCCCACCCCCCAGTCCCCCMACACACACCCACATTCGCAAAAAAAAAGAAGAAGAATGCTTCACGATTCATGATTCAAAGATTCAAAGTGTTTATTGCCATATACACAGAGAAGAAACATGCTTCCCTGAGCAATGAAGTTGTTACTTTGCCGTTCACAGTGGATGCCAAGGGACAACCAGACAAAAAAAGAGCACTAAAGGATACTAAGAAAGCAATAAGGGATAAAGGATAAAAAGACCACACTTGAAACAAACAAAAAAAAAAAAAGAGACCAAACTAAAGTATATGTTTTTAGTTGATAGTCATCATTTTCATGCTCTGCAATGCCATCATTTCCTTCCAGATCTCACAGTATTCATGATATAATGCACATTTATGGATTTTGACCAATAAGGCAAAAACTGTGTTCCTTCTTAGCATAGGATGTTTTTTTTTTATGTTTCACGAAAGACTCCAGGAGATATGCTAGGCCTTTAAATTAGTGTGTGGGGTAGCAAGCACTGCAAATTAGTTTTGTTTTTCATTCAAAAAGTATTGATATTTTGAAAAAGATCTTCGTTATAATATAATTTTTTTATTTGAAATGCTGAAATATTAGGCACAAACTGCTTCATTATTAATTATTGCAGATAGCATGTAGTTTTTACTTATTGAAACTTTTTTGATAGAGTAATTATTTGATAATACATATGAATTTCTTCTGTAGTAAATTATCGTTTAGATTTAGTATTTTCTGTAGAAGCAGTTTGTATAGACCCTAGATAAATATTTTGGTCATATTACTGATTGATAAGATGTAACTTAGTGGAAGATGAAGAAAGGCTAGAGAACATAAGGTGGTCCTTAAATTGGTCAAGGAAGGCATAGATCACTCTTAAGACTACAAGAGTGAATGGGGGTGGGGCATTATGAAATGGACAGAGAAAAAAAACAGGAAGGGGGTGGGGCATTAAAGGTGTAACTCTCAAGAACCTCAAGCTATTGACGGGAAGGGAGCAGTGGGAGGAATGAGCAAGTGTGTGGGAGGGAGGGATGGGAGGGGTGTGTGGGTAGACGCTTGCTGAATGAGGAAGCGGCAGAGCCATTTTTACTGTTGAGTAACTGCATGCTGGTCTGCCAGTGTCAGAGAGAGGGTGAAAGCAAAGCTAGAGGAATAAAGTGCTCCTCCAGGATTTTATTGGAGCCCTTTTCCCTGTCTTGCTTTACCCTCTCCTTTTGGTACACCTCTTGGTAGCTGCTTGTGTCCACTTTATTTGGGGAGGCCCTGAAGAGGATACACAATGGAGCGAAGAGCCTGTGGCAACTGGGCTGTTGTACTGCTGAGAGGGGGATGGGGTAGAGGGAGGACCGGTTCACACAGCTAACACAGCCTGCTGGCTGTAGGTTTCCAACAGCCTCTCTTTCCTGCCTGAATGTACTGTTTCCTGGCAGAGCACTTATTCCTGGACAAACTTTGCTTGGACAACACTAAGGATTACTTTTGTCTTCTGTGGGATTTTACGACACAGTGGAGTCGGGGGATACATCTATCTGTTTTTTGGAATAACAAAAAGGAAAAACTAACTTGTGTAAATCTTTTGTACCCTGGACTGGTTTTTGGTTTTTGTTTCTGTTCAGTAGAGTTCATTATTGGATAACAAGATGCATGCCAAGTCAAATGATTTACTGGATTTCCAAAAACTGGATGCCCTTCTGGAAAAAATTGCACATTCAGTCTCTGTGAAAAGGTAATGTTATGTGGTGAGCGACTCCTCTGTAAACTTTTCAGATATTCAGAGTGTCTGACATCCCTTCTGCTGTTTATTTAAAAAACAAATCAATTTAAGTATTCAATAAATAAATTAGAGGATACAATTAAAAACTGCCTGGAGTTTTGGTTCTAAGGACTATCATGTAGCAAGCACAACCTCTTGTTTAACATGATTTAGCTCTTGAAAACAATTTAGAACTTCACTGTTGTGTTGAGAATAGTATCATTATCCAAATGTCAGCTGCCTCAAACCTACCTCCTGGCTAGAAATTGGTCGTGGGTGGGTTCAAAGRGAGAATGGGATTGTGTGTATTAGTAGAAGAAATGGCTCATGCTTCCTGGAATCCTTCAGCTGGCTTGTTCTAACCAGCTGAAAGTTTAACTTAAGAGCCTGGATAATTTTTGTCTTTTTCTGTTTCTGACTCATGGTTTGTCTATTTAAGTCGGCTTGTGATCTCACAGAGTGACACATTTAGTCAGTGATTGTAATCAACACTAAGGGAATTTCTACACATTTACAACTTTTCAGTATAATATTGAAACATAAATTGTATGGGTAAATTAATTCCTAAAAAATACACAAACAAAGCTTGAGTTTTACTATTTTGTTTCAGTGTTCTAAAAAATGGTGGTTTATTAAATAGTAACCAGGTTACTATTAAACATCTAAAACAAATTTTCAGAACTGAAGGAATAAGATATTCTGGCTAAAGCATAAGAGTGTAACTTTAAAACACTGGTAATAGCCGTTTAAAAGAAAAACAAATATGGTATTCCAAACCAGTTAAACACAAGACAGCCATAACTTCTGTGCACCTTAGAAATGTCTCTTCAGCCAACTTTATATATGTGTTGTAGCCCAGAAATGTTAAGAAAAGATGCCCATGTCAGTTCCAGTAGATGCAGTACTTTATTGGCTTCTTAGTTCTGTAATACAGATAATTAAAAATTCCAGATTGGGTTCAAGTGTAAATGGAACAGGTGATTGGCCACAGAAATGTTTCTTCAGGAGCTGTAACTAAACAACAACTTTTTTGAACTGACTAGTATTAAGTTTGACAGCCTGTTGGGGATGTTGCTCTTTAAAAAACAAAAAAACAGGTTAGATTGCAGTACATTTCAGTAAACTTAGTGATCATCTCACTGTCACTAGTTTGTAAAATGTGTTTGGTTGTGGAGGCTTTAAGGTGTCATCAGTGCTAAATGTGGTCGATTGAATTTGTAACTTTGACTATGTTCACACTGCCTGCAAATATTACCCAAATCAGAATTTTCTTTTGCCCCATTTGACAACGTGAATGTGACAACCGACAAATCCAATTTTTTTCTCTAATTCGACCCAGGCCTTTTCAATATATGATACTGAATTGTATACACATCTGATGTTTTTTAAAGCGACTGCAGTCTGAATGTTCATGTCACTTTTTAATCTGACTTCTATATCAGTGAGGTGTGGGTGAGCAGATCGATCCATACAATAATGACTTTAACCTTGAGCCATGTAGTTTAAATTTTTAGCTCAACAGGTCTTCGACTACAGAACAGAGGTTCAGTTGCTTTCTTTGTTCTTTTAATTGTCCTTGTCCTGGATGACTGAGAAGTCGCAGAAACATGAGAGTAATTTCGTCGAACCGTATCGATGCTCAAGTTACCCTATCAATTAGGGATGCCCCGATCAGATACTCAGTATCGGTATCGTGGCAGATTTGGCCATTTTTTGAAAATCAGGTATGCGTAATCGGATTTAGTCATGTGATCAGGCCGATCTAGTTTTCGCAACAGTTTTCATCATCATCATRCTTTACAGCTGCTGTTAAGAAGTCATGACGCACACAAGTATGCAACCATGTCCACAGTTTGGGAACACTTTTCAATGGAAATCAATTATGCTGAAACTGCATCTTGCAAAATCTGCAAACTGGATGTTTCTCGTGGTGGGAACAGCAGGGCTCGCTTTACTACTACCAACCTTGTCACTTGGAAAGAAATAAAGCTATCAGATCGGTATTGGAAAGACTAATCATTAAAAAAATTGGATTGTATCGGGAGCCAAAAAATCTGGATCGGGACATCCCTACTATAGCAATACTTTACCTTTAGCACGTCGCTTCATTCCAAAAATAAAAGCTGCACTGGAGCATCTGGTCAGAAGCAGGTTCAGATATAAACTCTGAACTACTGTAAATGCATATCAGATAATTATTTAATCATCTCTCATTGCACAACAACTTCGGAATTAACATGCTAACAAGTAGCATCCATGTTTAGCTAATTCTGTAAACAGCTAGTTGAATGTGACATCACATCATCTGTGCGCGGGTCGGATCAGGGCTGTGTAGAGTTCACACTGGAGTTAGATGGAAGTCGCATTAATGTGAATGTTAATCCCCCAAAAATCTATTTTTTCCAAAAAAAAAATCAAAATTGAGTATTAAGACCTTCAGTGAACAGCCTAAGGCACCATCTCCATGGATAGCATGCTTAACCTTGTGCTGTGCTCAGCTTAGTACAGTGAAGATACTGCATGTTTACCATCACACAAAACATGATATGAAAAGGGCTAAAGCAGTAGGTTCTTTCACAAAACATTTTCACAAAATAGCCACAAAGACCAGGTCATTTTCAAGCAGCCCTCAGACTGTTGACAAATTACTAATTGAGCTGACCTCATGCCACATACTGTAGATGTGAGCTTTCAGAAATGAAGTGAGATTTGTGAATTTAAAGAGGCATTGACATGGAGTGCTACACATTAAATTTGTGATGCAGATATCTCTATCTTGTTTGCTCACTATAAACATTATAAAAAACTATATATTTTAGATGTGACTGCTGGATATGGGCACCAGTGACCCACGCAACCCTGAAAAGGAAGAAGCGTGTACAGAAAATGGATGGATGGATGACCTTTGGAGTTCAATCACAGTGTTCACAACATCATTTATGAAACAAGTCACAAATTAATCTCCTTTTTACAGAAACAACCTCAGGGAATATTATAATTTTGTATTACATCTAGCAAAACACCAATCTGTTGCCTGACTAGTGTGTGAAAACTTGATATTGGTGTAGATTTAGCTTTGTGCTGCCTGATGCYTGTGCTCAACTAAAAATATTTCACAAAGAACACAGTAGGCACTGCTGTACCTCCAAAAAGTCAGTTGATTTTAACTCTCTAATSCTCTCTTGTAATTTACAATTTTGTCCAAAAGTTTTTACCATTCCTACGTATGTGGCTTAACAATTAAACAAAGTGGTGTGGTATTGTATGACTTAGGCCCTGTTTAGACCTGTCACTTTATATCTATCTTGGGTAATTAAATTGCAAGTGAACWGCTCTGACAGAGGGCATTCACACCTGGTAGTTAATATGTATACAGAAATGTTTTTGTGATCAAATGTCAGTTACCCGCTCTGTATGCAAATGCACACATAGCCATGTCTTAACAGTGGGCTGTCAAACCAGTGTGACAGCAGGACTGCTGGTGTTTCCATGAAATTGCAACACATTCAAACATCTGAGCTATATTATTGTTTTCAACAAGAACAAACAAATAAATGAGAGAGAGAAACTCATCATGTAGTTTTCTGATAATTCACACGAACAAAATCCAAACAAAACTGACACTGTTAGCAGGATRTTGATAAATGATTTATTCAAACTTTAAGCTAAACGTAAAAAAATGCATACCTTCAGATTATTGGTTTGTTATTTTTAATCAGCAATCACATAAGATTTTTTTTTCCTGAGACACCCAGCCAGGTAATACCTGTCATGTTAATTTGTGGTTATTTCCATAAGAAGTCCTACATCGTTGTTCAGAAAGGATTGTATTCAGACTAACAATTGTCTAAAGATAAAGCGGTCCAAAGTGGTCTGAGTGAAAATGTTTTCAATGTCCACTGAGTCTGTTCACACCTGTATTTAGTTCCATTTGAATGCAATCAAATATTTTAAGACAGATTACAATACCAGGCCTAAGCAGGTTCTTAGACCTTTTCCATATGGAAGCATTCTCTTTCCAACACCTTTTATTTTTTGTTTCTAATGACAGAATCACAAACACAGCACAATTTCTAGAATTGCTTTTGTTCAACCTTGTCTAAAACTTAAAAGTAAAATATTTTAAATTAGGGTCCCAGAAAAAAACAACAACTATGAATTAAATATTTGTGAAATTAGTACATAGTTGTATAGTGATTGACACTGTAACCTCATAGTAGATGGATGACTTCAGCTGGTTGTATGTAAGAAAGAAAAGGTTGGTGAATATGCAGACAGTGATGTCCTTGGCCTTGTCACCATAGCTTATTAATTATTTGTATAAGGTAAAACATCAGCCATCATTCCGACACCTAGTAAGGGCCTCAGGTGAAGTCTCCAGACCTACTTTTTTCCTGAAATCAAACCTTCCCTTCTGCATAAATTATTAGCAGGCTGCATTTACAAGTGACATCGATTTCTTGCTATCATCATTACCACCTTCTTTAGGGCCACTTTCAAGACTGTATTTTTGTTTGCCAGGTCAGAACCCCCATCCTGGTTGTCAAAACTACATTTTCCTGTAGAAAACCATTTTCATCTAGCTAGCTACTACCATGTTATGTTGTTAAATATATGTTTATAGTTAATGAAAGACAAATGTATTCTCTCTCCAGAGATTCCAGCGAAGAGTGCAATGGGATCAGTGGTACTCTGTCAGTGGAATCTGTGCCGGGGCCAAGATTGAACTGGTGTCCTTCCAGCACCACTGCCCCTGCTCCTACTCCTGCTTCAGCTCCCGTTTCGGGACACGAGCCCACACCCAACCCTATCAGGATGGGGGACGGCCTGGATACAGCGCAGATGTCGGGCAGCAGCAGCCAGGGGCAGGCCCAGCATGGTGTCAATCCCCCTCCCCCAGAGTATATCAACCCCAACAGGCCAAAGCGCCAAACCAATCAGCTGCAATACCTGCTCAAGGTGGTGGTAAAATCCCTGTGGAAACACCAGTATGCCTGGCCTTTTCATGCACCAGTGGATGCAGTCAAGCTTAACCTGCCTGTAAGTACAAGCTGCACTTTAGTTTACAGTATTAACTCACATTTTACAAAAACTGTCATGTAAGGTGTCTTGTGAGTTGTCATAAGGTCCTTAGCATCTACATATTCTCACCGTTTACATGCAGTATAATCAAMTTCATTTTGTTGCGATTTACCATTATGTGCAAATCAGGCAGATTACTTTCTATTACTATTTTTTCCTGCTTCCTAAGAGTTATGTGTCTCTAAAGAAAAGTTTAACTTCAGCAATCTGTTGCCTTCACAAAAGAGTGCATGGATGTCAGGAAAGTATTTTTAACCCTCTGTTCCGGTGATGAGTGCACAGCATGCACCTTATGGTCCAGAAGGAGGTCTTTTTAAGTTATATTAAGTGAAAAAAGAGAAGGCTTTAATGATCAAAGAAGCCCAAAATGTCACTTACTGACTTAAAAATGCCATCATCTAGTTTTATTCCATGACAACATGAATAAATGAGGATTATAGATTGTGTGGAGTATAGCTCAGCAGTGTTAACATGAAACATTATGCGTACAGTTAAGTCCATATAAATTTGGACAGAGACAATATTTTTCTAATTTTGTTTCGTGACATTACCACAATGAATTTTAAACAAAACATTTCAGATGCAGTTGAAGTTCAGACTTTCAGCTTTAATTCAGTGGGTTGAACAAAATGATTGCATAAAAATGTGAGGAACTAAAGCATCTTTTAAACACAATCCCTTCATTTCAGAGGCTCAAAAGTAATTGGACAGATTAAATAATTGTAAATAAAAGGTTAATTTCTAGTACTTGGTTGAAAAGCCTTTGTTGGCAATGACTGCCTGAAGTCTTGAACTCATGAACATCACCAGACACTGTGTTTCCTCCTTTTTAATGCTCTGYCAGGCCTTCACTGCGGCGGTTTTCAGTTGCTGTTTGTTTGTGGGTCTTTCTGTCTGTAGTTCAGTCTTTAACAAGTGAAATGCTGCTCAAATGGGTTGAGATCAGTTGACTGACTTGGCCATTCAAGAATATTCCACTTCTTTGCTTTAATAAACTCCTGGGTTGCTTTGGCTTTATGTTTTGGGTCATTGTCCATCTGTAGTATGAAACAACGACCAATCAGTTTGGCTGCATTTGGCTGGATCTGAGAACACACGTGGGGCTGCACAGTATATTGCAAATATATTGTCATTGCAAAATCAGTGTGTACAATATTCATATCACTAAGGACTGCTTGGAGTTCAATAGTTGCTGAATAATGTATTTGAAGAGTTTTTATATCTTTCATACTAATACAATATTTAGCCAGTAGGACCGAGTCTCACGGTAGCAAAAGCTCACACTAGTCATAAGTGACATTACCAAAGGTTCTAAAGGTCACATGGAGTAGGAAGTACAGATTAGAAAGGGTGGAAAGAAAAAAAGAAGACATTGCAGCAGATATTGTCATTGCAATATTTACAAATATTGCTATAACTAGGTTTTCCAATATTGGGCAGCCCTAGTTATAAGTACAATTCACATTTCATATTGCAAATTGCAAGTTTTTGGGGATCTTTCTGCTATCATTGGGCAAACCGTGTGCAATTACTCATCAGGAAAACTATCAACAATTAATATTTGCCATTACTGCAATTAGTGCAACACACTATCTCTATCAAGCATGCATGTAAACGTAATGGTGTAAAGCAGTGTATAGCAGCCAACCGTAACCCTACGGACCAAGGCCACAATGTCAGCTACATGCAAATGCAATTCTAATCTATTATCATCATATTTATCGTTATCGGCCACAATTAATCAAGATAAATTTTTATGCCAATATTGCCCAGCCCTACTTTCTTCTGCTTTCAGGTCATCAACATTTTTAAACCAAAAAAACCAAAGCTTTAGTGGGACTTAGATACTCAAATTTAGGTACTATTTGAACAGTTTGATTTTCATAATAAACATGATTTCCAAGTATTAATGTGAAAAGACTTTACAGATAGAATAAAATACTGAAGTGAAATTTAAAATTATCAGTCTGTTTGATGGAATTGATTCCTGGAAGTTTAGAATTTTACTTTTAAAGGAACGTTTACTTAAATCTGTTTTGGAGTATTGATAGACAGCACTTAAATGTTCAAAATTTATTGCTGACATACTTCTTTGTTTTAGGACTATTACACAATAATTAAAACACCTATGGACATGGGAACAATCAAGAAAAGACTTGAGAACAGCTATTATTGGAATGCCCAAGAATGTATCCAGGACTTCAGCTCAATGTTTACCAACTGCTACATATACAACAAGGTAACATACTTGCACACTGGAGCCATTGTTGTTGGGACATACCAAAGTTTTTGTTGTGCTTCCACTTTTGCTTAGAATGTTTATCTTCTTCAACAGCCTGGAGATGACATTGTCTTGATGGCTGAGTCTCTAGAAAAGGTTTTCCTCCAGAAGGTTACAGAAATGCCTCAAGAGGAAATTGAGATTCCCGTCATGACAGGAAAGGGACGTGGCCGAGGCAGGAGAGATGGAAGTATGTGATTTTCTTACTACATTTTTTCTGTAATACGGCAAGCATCTGTCAAACTGAATTATAATCTAAGTATATTGATCTGTCATCAAGGTCTAAACTTGAAACCAGGCACAATCATTGACTCGCCAGCCACAACTCCACAAACACCTGGTCTATCAACCCCCTCACCAGCTTCACAGTCTCGAGGACCAACGCAGGGCCCACCTTCACTACCTCCCCATCCTTCGATGCAGGCCCCACCATCCCATGTGCCCCAAACAATACCCAGCCATGTGCCACAGCTCAGAGCTTCATACTCCATGGTTCCATCAGACTGTGCTCCTCAAGTTCCTATTATGACTCCTGTGCCTCACCCTGTTCAGACCTCTCTTCCTCCAGTATCACTTCAGAGCACTGCTCCTATTCTGCAGACCCCTATAACAATGACCAAAGTGAGTTTAATTTAAAAAAAAGTTATCTTGGTTCTGGTTGGCATATTTTAAACAATGTCTGGGACTGACAGGAATGTGTGTTTTTTTAAGTTTGGCTTTTCTCTATTCACTTACATATCATCCTTTCTCTTTGTTTTTATTTTCCTGCTACCCAGCAAAAAAAGAGTCAAAAAAGAAAAGCAGACACTACAACTCCCACAGCAAACGATCAGTTAAGTGAGTCTTCACCAGCAGAATCCAAGTCTGGGAAGACGCTACCTAAGCGAGAAAGTAGCCGGCCCCCGAAACTGCTTAAGAAGGAGGCTCCAGACTCTCAACATCACATAGGCATGGGTACTGGACTTAGTGGACAAAGTGGAGGTCTTAGCCCTAAACCACAGGATCAGCTGGGTTATTGTGCTGGCTTGATTCGGGAGATGCTGTCCAAGAAACATGCTGCTTATGCTTGGCCGTTTTACAAACCTGTTGATGTGGATGCACTGGGACTACATGATTATCATGATATCATCAAACATCCGATGGATCTCAGCACCATCAAGGTATGTTGAAAACAGGATTATTTCCCAACAATCACAGGAATATTGATGAGAGTTCATTTGCGTCATCCCAAGCAACTGAAATGCTGGATTTGTTTGTAGGCTAAGTTGGAGAACAAGCAATATCAAGATCCTCAGGAGTTTGCTGCAGACGTGCGGCTAATGTTTTCTAACTGCTACAAATATAATCCACCGGACCATGAAGTTGTAGGCATGGCACGCAAACTGCAGGTACATACATGTGATTGTTCCTTTTAAAACCTTGGGTTGCCGCTTGTTTATGTGCAGTTTTATTGATCTTAAAGCAGCTAAATTTAAAACAGATATTGAAGTTATTTTCAAAGACGCATTTTTATATTTGGGCTTTTACTGTATGCAACATTAATAACAATTTATTACATTATAACAGACACATCTACAGAGATGTTGTCTTAAAAGTAAAAACAAGGTCTATTTTGACACTTTTAACTGCTTTGGTAGAATTACATAATTGTTTTTTATCAGTGTTTGACTATCATTTTTCAAATATTTTGTTATTATTTGTTGTGTTTCTGGTTTTAGTCTGTTTTTTATAGGGCTGCAGTTAATTATTTTAGTAATCAATTAATCTATCGATTATTTTGTCACAATCGAGTAAATGGATAAAAAAAACTTTAGGTAAGATTTMGGTAAATGTATTTTTCAAAGGGGACATGAATGATACCTGTTGTTAACTCCAGATGAATATCAGGACGTTTAGCCCCCAGACATTTACCCGCCTTGGACACTTACTCCCTGGGGTAAAAATGCGTTCGATGAATGCAGCAGCTGTTTTCTGTTCTGGTGCTGAAACATGGCGAACATCCAGCACATACACTATACTGGGTTGCCTTTCCTGTTTAGTTTAAAATGTTCCCACACTTTTAACAATTTCTGTTGTTTTCTGGGTGCTCCGTTTTGGGATTCTTAGTCTCCTTCATAGATAAATAAATAATRTAGGACTTAGCATACACATATAGCCGTTAGTGGAAGTGCAACACAAATAAMGTTTTGACGGAAAAAGTCCGCTGAATATTTTAACAGGATCTATTTTTACTGAAGCTTGGAGGCAGATAATTTGCCTCAAAGATTTTTAATAATCAAATTACTTGAATTATTTGAGGARTTGTTTCAGCTCTAGTAAATAATGGTGATAGTTTCAAAAACTGATTTTTATTCAACAGGATGTCTTTGAAATGCGCTTTGCCAAGATGCCAGATGAACCTGAGAGTAAGCCAATGGTTTCTGCTCCAGCTCCTATCCTTCACCATCCTGCCCCTGTAAAGCCTCAGCCTCCTTTGGCACGTGTCGCCTCATCTTCGGACAGCTCCAGTGACTCATCCTCGGAGTCTGAATCTTCCACAGATGACTCAGAAGAAGAGCGAGCCCAGAGGTTAGCAGAGCTCCAGGAACAGGTCAGTAAATATAAAGAAGGTTTTGGATCATGGTAATGGTGTTTCCTGTTCTTGAAAACATTTAGGTAAAACTGGTCTAATTTTTCCCAACAGTTAAAGGCTGTCCATGAACAGCTGGCTGCCCTATCACAACCACAAGCCAGCAAACCAAAGAGAAAAGAAAAGGAAAAGAAAGAGAAGAAAAGCAAGCATAAAAAGAAGGGTGGTGTGTCGGGCCTTGTCGATGAAATCCAGGATGCTACGCCTGTTCCACAGCTGTCTAAGAAAACCAAGGCCATTACCAGTAACAACAAGGAGATTGTTACAAAAAAGAAACCCAGGTGGGTATTGGACTTCCTTTGGGCAAATGAGAGAAAAACACTTTAGTGTTCATCTAAAATAAATTTTCTTCATTCTAATTTGTTTCACTCRTTTTATCAAGTATTCAGACTGAAAGCTTGTTGTGTTTCTGTCATGCCTTTAACTTAGAGTTCCTTAGAGGCTCATTTATATAAAGACAGGGTTTTCACAGATGTTCCTTTCAAGAATGTCTCCTGAATGGCTTACTGACTTGAGGGAACATTGTAGACTTTACCATTTMTGTGGATTGAGGTCCTTCATTATACTTTATACGACCGTTCATAGTTTGACAAACAGAACGTCGTTTTGTACGTGTGTGTATTTGCAAACTTTGTTAAATTTTAAGCATTTATAACTTTTGTGTCTGGCCTCCACAGTAAAAAGGAAGGTGCGAAAAGTAATCACCCTCCTAACCTTCAGCCAGTTCCCAGCCTGGAGGATGATCTTGGAGCTACTGGATCATCAGTAACAGGGGAGAAGTGCAAGCCTATGACCTATGAAGAAAAGAGACAGCTAAGCCTGGACATCAATAAGCTTCCTGGAGATAAGCTTGGCCGTGTAGTTCATATAATCCAGTCAAGAGAGCCTTCACTCAAAAACTCAAACCCTGATGAGATTGAGATCGACTTTGAGACACTGAAGCCCTCCACTCTGCGTGAGCTGGAGAGATATGTGTCTTCCTGCCTCCGCAAGAAGAAGAAGGTTCCAGGTAAGAGGCTTCTCATTCACTAGTAAAGAAAACGCCCACATGAGAAAATGGAGGKAGCTTTTGGCTTTTGCAAAACCAAAATTTAGTATTTTGGTTTTGCATTCAGAAAATGTTTTAACATATAGGTGTTTTTATAGTTGAGAAGAATATTGAGTCCATGGCAACTTCCAAAAAGACTGGATCTTCTTCTGAAAGCAGTGGCTCAAGTTCAGACAGTGAAGCTGAGCTCACAGGTCAGTTACAGCATTTTTTTTTTCAAAATCTGTAATCTATCTATAATCTCACTTCCTCATCTTCAAGAAAAAACAACCCCCTAATCACACGGTTGATTTTCAGGATTGATAAAACAGAGGAAAAAGAAAAGCCAATCTGTGAAGGAGGGCAAAAAGGCACATCCTCCTGTTCAAGCCGGCTCTGCTCAAACTGGGCTTCCATCACAAACTCTTGGCCCTCAGTCTGGCAGTCAGATGAAGCATCAACCTCCTCCTGCAGGATTTGTGGCGCCTCCTCCCGTTGCAGCCCTGGAGTCCTCCCACTTACTAGAGAGCTACGATTCCCTACCTTTCAGCAGCCATCAGCCAATAATGCACATGCCCCACCACACAGGCAACGCTTCCCCTATACCTCCACATTTAAATGCACATTCAGCTGGGCCAGTGTCCCCTGAGACACACCCTTTCCTCAATCAGCATCCCGTCCTCCCATCTCCAGGTAAGAGTAGATGCAGGGGCTCATTTTTGATAGATTTATCACCTAAAGCTTTAGTTGTTTATATTGCTTCTGCATGTGCAGTCATTTACAGCTTCTGCACCAATGCACTGACAGTTGAATCTTTGCTTGATTTATTTTTGTTTTGCACTTTCAACTTTATTTTTTTAGYAACAGATCTCATATAATAAAATATTTATTAGTAATATACTTTTTTTCTGTTCGCTCATGCATTCTTATTTAGGTTTTGCTTTATTTGAAATGTATGAGGGATGGGAAATCGCCCCTATTTTCAGATCATAAATCATGGTCACTGGCTATCGCCGATAGACGATCCAATCGGCTGATAAGGCATGCTCAGTTACTTTGTTTAAAAAAAAGGAAAGAAAAAAAGCAAGCAGGTCCGCTTATTATAAGCGACGGCTTCTTTTTTTCTAAAGTCGCTTGTAAATTCGGTGGTTATTCGGCGTTCGTGTTCACACATACCTTTCATAGCTCCTGAGAACCCCACGTCGAGCTCCTGGGGGCACACCCCTCCCCACCCCCCTGCTACAGGTGATTTCTACCCGGAGAGAATCCAATGCGGAAAAAAAAAAAGTCAGACACTTGTCACTCGACGTTGCTTATCCACAAACTGGTCCAGGATTAAGCTCAAAAGTTTTTATCAGTCAGATTTCACCGTGAAAATCGTCTGTTTTATCCCATTTTTATGAGGTTTTGTCCGTTTGACTGTCTCTATAATCGCTGCTTCCTGGTAGTCTGCGTTCGAACGAGACTTTTTTCTCTCTTTTTTTTTTTTCAAGCGAGAGGTTGAAGCAAACGCAGCGTCTGAGCGCGTTTAGCACAAACACTCCCACAAACTTCTGACCAATCACGCCATACTTCGTATGTGTTCTTATATGGAGGGGGGTGAAAAGTTCGACTCGCACACACACCGGGGTGACGGGGATGAGCAGGGGTGAGGGAGTGCTCTCCGGTCTGGTTCGGAACTGGTTAAAGTTATTTGTTCAAATCTATGATTGTCATGGATTATTCGTTTTGTAACTAAACTTTATAATATAGCACTATTTGGGTCACTTGTGGCGCACCAAAGCAAGAAGACGACGAGGAGAGACGTGAAGAGGAGCTGCTCACGTTGGCTCCGACTCTGAGAAAAAAGAAAAGAAACGAGACGCAGCACTGTTATTTTATTCCCTCATTTGCACAGATCACAATGATGATGATTAAAACATTTTATTTTACATCCCTGTGGCACAGCATTTAATTAATTAATAAAGATTGCCCTAAAAAAAACTATTCGCATTCCAACCCTTCAATCGCCGATGGACGATTGAATCATAAATCACGCCATCCCTAAAATGTATAGCAGTGTAATGGACATTTCATTTAAAAAAATAAAATTAAATCATTGTAGCTGGTCCCAATTTGTAATGTTGATTARCAAAGGGACATTTGAACACACGGGTACAGATAACATTGATCAAAAAAKGTAAACTGCTTTTTAAATATTAAACTGCATGCATTTTTTTAGAATGTGTTCAAGAGTTGGTTTGTAAACATTTTTTATTAAAAACAGATGAAGACAAATTGATAGGTGCAAAATTATTTTCCCAAAAACATTTAACATGAAGCGTTAGAAAAGAAAAGTTTATTTTGTCTATACATGTCTTAAAATYGATTTCCTTTCTCTCTCTCCCTTGTTTTCTGGAACTGTCCCCCTCAGCTCTACACAGTTCCATGCCTCAGCAACCATCTCGGCCCAGTCACAAGGCAGCACCTCTTCATCCCAAACCTCCTCAACAGCAGCCAGCACCACTTCCGCAGACGCCAACTCTTCCTCCTCCTCCTCCTCCTCCAGAGCAGCAGCAGCTTCAACCTCCGCCAGCAGCCCCACCGCAGCACCAGCTCTCCTCTCAGATACTTCACCCTCCATCTCAACCCCTCCACCAAAGGCCAATGTCACCACCGACATTCACTCCCCAAGGCTTGCTGTCTTCTCAGCCTCCACAGATGYTGTTGGAGGATGATGAAGAGCCAGGGTCTGCGACGTCTCTAAACCAAGTGCAGTTATACCTTCAGCAGTTTCAGCAGGTTCGCCAGCCGCAGCAGACCATGCAGTCGCTTCAGATGCAGGTTTGTCAGCAGCAGCAGCCACAACAACAACAACAAGGACAGACTTCTCTTCTACAGTCTGTCCAGGGACAACCTCAGCTCGCTGCTCAGACTTCGCTGCCTCCTCCACAACTTCCTGTCCAGTCCCAGGCTCCGCCCGCTCCACTGCTTCAAGCCCCGCCCCCACAAATATCCCTACACCAAGCCCGTCACTTGCAAAACACTCAGCATCAACAGCAGCAATCACAGCTGCAGCAAACGAACTTCCATCAGGCCTCAGGACTCAGTCAGTCCCAGGGGCCACAACACAATCTACCCATGCCCACGAGCAAAGCACAGCAGATCATCCAGCAGCAGCAAGAGCAGCCCTCCCCTCGCCCAACCAAAGTTGACCCCTACAACATGGGTGCGTCTGGGATYACACTTTGTTTTGTTGTTTGTGCTCGTAGAATCTAACACATTTGTCAAATTGGATCATGTTGAGATTCTTTTTTTTCTCTTTTCGACAGGTCAAATAAGGGACAACCCATCTCCTCTCATGATGCCTTCCCCACAACTTCCCCAATTTGTGTCTCACCAGTCTCCATCTCACAACATGCAGCCCAAAAAGGTAAAAAAAAAAAAGTCTGCATAGATTGGGCATTATTTGAAGGGAAGGCAAAAGGCCAGCTCAGCATCTGACTTTGACTTCATTTACTTGCCATGCAGCAGAGGGCCTCTGGAACCCAAGGTGCAATTAAAGAAGAAAAGCTTCCTCCATCACCAGTGATGAGAGGAGATCAGTTTAATCCTGCAATGAGACCAGATCGTCACAAACATCCTGAAAACAAGCCCAGTCAACCAAGCCACAGCCAACAGAGTGAGACATTTATAACTTTGGATTTTCCTCCGGCTGAAACACACGAACACACTGCATGAGACTAAACTTGTGTGTATGTTCTGAGCAGATGTGAAGTCGATGGACAGCTCACGGCCGGTCATTCGTTCGTCTGAGCCGAGTGGACCACCGCCCTCCCTGCAGGACAAGGATAAGTTTAAACAGGAACCCAAGACCCCTACTGCTCCTAAAAAGGGACAGGTTGGTGCAATAATCGGTTTACAAAATCCGGTTTTGTTTTGTTTCTGGTTTGTACAAGTATCGTATCTTGCAGTACTCCAGTATATCTGCACGTGTGTGTTTCCTCAGGATGCAAAATTTAAGATCATGAGCTCGTGGGCGAACCTGGGACAAAAGCAGACATCTACGCCTTTATCCGGGGTGAAATCTTCCAGCGACAGTTTTGAGCAGTTCCGCCGTGCTCTACGAGAGAAAGAGGAGAGGGAAAAGGCCCTAAAGGCACAGGCTGAGCAGGCAGAAAAAGACCGGCTACGCAGAGAGCAGGACAAACTACGGTAAGGTTTTTAAGACCAACCGCAAACTCACATGGTAGCTATGTTCACCTCATGAGGACGTTTGATTACCTTTATACTGGACTCACAAAATCATAAAAGTATTTTTGGAAAATTATGAACCAATTAAATCAATGTCAGTTTTAAMGAGCAATAAAATAAAATTGATTCTGGGAAAAGGGCACTTTGATAAATAGTTATTCTATTTGAAAAGATTGCTAAACAGTCAAAGTGAAAAGCTTCACTTGAACWCTTAATTTAATGATGCTTTGATGCACATTTTCCAGCTTTTCACAGGGAGGACACAAGTTACATGTTTAACCTCTTGAGCCCCAACAGCATTTCCCGTTTTCTATTTCTTTTAACYTCTGTTAACTKAAGATCTGTAAGTTGAACCTTGACCTGTTTATAGAAAGCTAATAATCTTGGCTAAAAGCTCATGGAAACTATATTTACATCCACCAAACACAGTTCAAACGACAGGCAGTTGAACCAGAAAGAAAGCAAACTATACAAAATGGGATTGTTCCAAATCTGTAAATACATTACAACAAATCTGAAAAGGGAAGATTTTTGACATTTGTTTTTAAATCAAGTCAAAGCAGATATCAAAATATGTTGTAAAGTTTTTTTTACTTGATTTTGAGTGAATACGATCCAACTGAAGTCAAATATAATTTCTCATTTTATATAATATATTTGGTGACAAATAAATGTTTGGATATTTTTTCAAAAGAACAAACATTCAATACCAAGTCTTTTCAGGCAGGAAAGAAAAAAATTTAAAAAACTTTTGGACATAAAAACTTCAGATTTCTTAACATTTATTAATGGTACCATCAGGATCTGTCCTGTGCAGAATGACAAAATTCAAAATTATTTCTTTACTAAAACCTCTGTAACTTTGCTCCAGTTAATTTTAGCAGCATGAATCTTTGCACAGGTAATGTCCACAAGTGGATTTATGGTTTCCAAGAGTTTTTAGCCTGATTCATTATGGTTTTAAATGGGTTAAATACTGTCTAATGAAAATAATTTTCAGACGGGAAGGAAAAAAATGTAAAAAAAATATGTTCATCCTCAATATCTCTAAAACCACAGCAGCTGTTTTAATAGTTACACCTCTAATAAAATCTCCCAAGTGTTMGCGTTATTGATACCAAGATTTTTTAAGTAGAGTTTGTAAATGCTGAGACGCACTCATTTACATTTCAGCATGGTGTTTTGAGCAAAACCTTAAAGAAAACCCCTTGAGGCTTAAGAGGTTAATAATGTCTTTTATGCTTCTACAACTAAAGAAGGCAGAAACTAATATTCTGAATGGTTTTCAGAGGACGGGATGAAGAGGACGTGACCGAACCTCCCAGGAGGGTGCACGAGGAGCCTCGAGCACGCCTTGAGCAGCAGCACGTCCAAGCCCCGTCCCAACCACAACCACCGCAGATCCATCCAGAGGCCCAGCCCGCCGTCATTCAGCAGCCGCCTCAGCCCCCTACTCCGCCTCAGCCCGCCACACAAAACTCGCTTGATCAACACAGAGAGATAGCACGCCTAAAAGAGCAGGAAAGGAGGAGGAGGGAGGCGGTGAGTTGACCGTCTTCATTTTCTCTGATGTTAAAATCGTTAGTTTGATAACAGGAGTAACTGTAAAATATTCATGCYTCTGGACAAGAACATAGAAATAAACAGTAAGTGTAGTTTTTAGTAACCAGTGCAACAGAAGTACTGAGCTGTTCTTTTCTCTCCACAGATGGCAGCGACTATTGACATGAATTTTCAAAGTGACATAATGGCCATCTTTGAGGAGGGCTTTTGAGGAAAGAGTGCAACTGAAACAGACAGTAAGCAGAAGAAAACAAGTGAATAAATGAGGACGAGCTTCCTCTGGCTAAATGTCCCACAAAAGGCCACAGACTCGATACACGAGCCCTGTTGAGACTTGATACGAATGCTGGACTCGTGGTCGCGGCTTGCTTTTCAACCTCTTGGGCTGAACTCTGGTTGTAGTCTCAGTGTTTTGAACGTGGTTTTGTTGGATTTTTAGCAGTGCTTGCCCAAAAAAAAAAAAAAACGGGAAAAAGGAGGACCTCTTTTGGCACAGTTGCCTTTGTCATGCTTGATTCTCATACTGTGCACGGACACAGCAATAACTGCAGGAGTAACAACATCCCGATCCCAGTAACGATGAAAGATGCTCTGATGTACTGACAGACTGCGCAGGAGGGTTTTGAAACTGCCAGATGTCAAAAATTGTGAAGAAATTGTCTTTTCCGTTCTGTTTATTTTGTTGTAAGTGAACACATTTTTTTAATTATTATTATTTTGGGGTTGGGGAGGAAACTTCCATACTGTAAATCGTGTATATTTCTCAGCAGAGAAGGTACAGTTTGCCTTACATCTTTTTTCCTAAATAGACAAGTATGTTCTATAGCCTGCACACGGAAAAACCAATAATGTTTTCAGACAGGACCAGAAGCCGTGCAGACTTTTTTCCATCATCTATTATCTACTGTAAAAAAGTATTTTCTTATCCTACAACAACTGTTTATTTCCACTTTAGCTCTTTGAATCTTCACACCAACACACTCCAACACCTACGCCAAACAATCCAATATCTTTTATGCTAAATTACTTGCTCTAAGTCATAGAGGTGGGGGGGGAAGAAAATATGCATTATCATAACTGCAATGAGTATTTATCCAAGACAGAATCAGTTTGTATCTAACTTATATTTGTCATTTTAAACMACAAAGAAATTGCTAACAGAAGAGCTAACGGACCGGTCGCTTTTGAGCTTTAGTTGGATTTTACGATAAGTGATGACCTGATTTGTAATCCTTCAAAAAATACTGTTGAGAGGTTTGTTTAATTGGCTCGTCACACTACCGGATCAGTTCGTTTTTATTGGTTCGGTCCGATGACAACGGGCCGAATGCTCGAGGTCGAAAAGAAACAATCTGGACAAACACATTTTATGACTTCCTGTAGCCGATACTTGAAACAGATCTGTAAAAAATAAATAAATCGATGGTACCATATGGAGGTCCCAGTTAGTTTTTACATTAAATCATCATATAATTCATGAGAGGCACACTGTTGACAATGCAAAAAATAAAACTTAAAAAGAAAAAAAAAACTAAAAAAGAAAAAAAATACAAACATCAAGACAAAAAAGGCTGAAAATAGATTTTAATTTATACTTTTGTTATTGTTCAATAATAGTGGATGTGAGTTCTAATCCTGTTTTTGAAGACTGTCAGAGTGGAGATGAGTTAAAATCTGAACATATCCTGTCCTCTCCACTCATCTGTTTTTTTTTTTCATACTTTTTCTCCAGTGCCTGTATTGTATTGCAATTCTTGTTGGCTTATATTACACACAGGGAGTTTAGTAAAGGGGTGCAACAAGCGTGGGCGTGTAATATTTGAAAAGAGGGTGGGC